TATACTATAACTGTAAGTATAAGAATATATGTAAACTATAACTGAAGTGATGATTTTAACATATATCAATTTTAAGATATATACAGGGTGAGTCACTTAAGACTGGCCACCCGAATAACATCCACAGTTTTGGAGATAGGAAAAATGTTTCAGACGAAAGTGGAATGGTTTCAAGAGTATTTTGATCATGTTGTCTTTCTTCTAGGTGAAGGCGCTAAAAAGATATATAGGTCACCTCCATTTTTTTAAACGAAATTGTATAATTTTTTTGTACACTATGGTCCTCCACTAATCATTCTGTATATAAAAGTATTAAGGTAGTGATAATAAGGTAGTGAATAATGATAAATACAACTAAATATTACGTGAAAAAAAATATCAAATAATCAATTTTGCCAAAAAAACCCCCCAAAAAACCCAAAAACCCCCAAAAAAACCCCAATAAAACCCCCATAAAACCCAGAGTGGATTGAATTTTTTTAAAAAAGCCCGGGTTTTTCCAACCCTGGGCTGTTTAGTTTCAAAAGAAACAACGTCCATACCAACGTGTGCACTTAGTAAATAATGAATTAATTCGAGTCTTCAATACATTTCTTCAATTAAAATATTTAACTCCATTGTTTCAGTTAAATTAACGACATATTAAATAGGAGCAATGACGACCTATAAAAATGATTAAAAATAAATAGGGTATAATTGAGTATAATTATAACTCAAATTGCGTATAATTTGACATTATGAATTTAACAGTGTTGAAGTCGTGGCGAATGAATCGCAGTGCATCAGACGGATCGTTCGGTAAATCGAAACACGGAGTGAAAATCAAGCGTGGAATTCGCATACTCGATTGGAGTCGGCAACGATGGCGAGAATGAAACCCGAACGTACTCGCTAAATAACGTTCGCGCGCGGTCGATGACATCGAAACTCGTACATGTCCCTAATTTTGTCTCTTTCTTCCTGACTCTCGTATTAAAATTTCACGAACATATGGGACTTCTCACGTAAAACATTAACTAGTGTATCCTCTTTAACGAATTGAGAGACGAGGAAAGATGGCTCTTCGAGGAAAGATGGCATTATCCGTTCAATCGAGGATTTCCAATTTTCGGACATCCCGATAGAATAGAATTTACCGAATGTGAATTGAGAATAAAGATTCATTGTATTTGTTATTTTTACAAGTAAAGCTTCACTGTGCAGTTTTCAATGCTGAATATCTCTGTAATTACGTAATGTGTGCCGCGTGGAAGGAAAGTGTGTCATGCGTGGAACGTGTGATGTTTTTATCTAAGGATACACAAGTCTCGGAGAGTAAACTGAAGACGTTATTCTCCGCGTCCTTAAATGCACCCTTTGCTACGTAGCGATAGTATCGCTGTGTGCGTGTTGTAGAGGAGATTAGTTTTTAACGCAAGTTAACAGTGCGTTAAAAACTAATCACCTCTAAATACACGGCAGACGATCATGCTGGAACAAGTTTCTCGACTGTGTTGTTCGTCTTCGTAGCGTCGGATCTTTTTAGTGGAGCATACATCGGGGATTTAAAATTTTCCGAAAGCCACGAGGCGAAAGCCGTTCCATGTTACTCGATGTCGCGATTGACAGCTATCAGCTGTCAAATTGCGATCAAATATAGAAGAAATCGCGGCTTGGCAAGCAGCTTTTATTATTCGCAATCGAAACGAATCTCTACTGTCTTGTGATGCGAGCGAAATGATACGGATATTCCACTACGAGATTGAGTGCTTTTCATTTATGATAAATTCGATCATTCACACTATTATACAATGGATTAGTACACATTATTGTATTATTGTAAGGCTATTTTATATAAAGTATCCAAGTACAGTGGCATAATTTAATCAACTTTGATTTCATTGTCAATGAAATAATACATATATATTCTGTTAAATAACAAGATAATAGGTGTTCTCTTCAGGTAAACTTCTCTTGCATAGTTTACTTTTTCTCTTTATATTCTCAACGAAACGAAAAGGAGAAAAGATGAACCAAGAAATTCAGATATCTAGCGATAAAATGATTCATCGAATTGATGTCGAGTCAATATCGAATATATAATATCAGTGATTTCGACATTTCAATTTGACAGCCATTTTTCGTTGGGTAAAAAAAACACATCATTATCAGGTATATTTAAAATACTCATTATGCTTTACATTTAGCTTTGCTAATTCGTGTATAACAGCTTTTAGTATGCACTAATCTAGTGTAATGCAAATGATCAAATTCGTTATTAGTAACACAAATTAACATTAATGTCGTCCCGTCTTTCTTGGCATTTTATGAATAACAAAGACAGAACGATACCTGCTCGTGTCAATTGTGTCACCAAATAGAAAGTACCCATTTGCATCTTGAAGACGACAAGAGGACCGAAATGGTTCGGAGACCGTCAAATTTATCCATCGATCGATTACCTCGCAGCTCGCAGGAAGGAGCCACGTCGTCGACACGCGGAGCGCATTTCGAACAAACGTTCCCTACGTCTCGGACAACACGTACGGACTCTCACGTTCGCGCTTTGTAGGTCGGGTGACACCCATTAGCTGTCAAACGGTCAGCTAATATTAAACGGATCTTCGATCGAACGCGAGGAGCGCAAGGTCGCGTACGAGGCGCGAGCACCGCGATCAGGACGTGATTCCAGCACCGGCCACGGTGATTCGCGAAAGCTGAGGAAATCATCGTCGAGCGAGAAACGACGCCCGACGCGGCGTCCGGGATCACGCCGTATAGGTTAGGTCACAATGGATGGTTCAGGCACGCGGTAAGGAGGAGGGGGTCGAGACGAAACGGAGTACGGGTGTCACATTCACTCACAGTCCTCCTCGATGGTGGATTGCTCCGGTCTGAGGTGATCCACCGCGGGCTGCACCGGCACGGGGAAGCTCGTCTCGACCACCTCGATCACGTCCACATTGTCGCCCGAAGCCATTTTGCGTGCGTCGCCTCCGTCCGATCTCGCACTGACTCACGCGTAACGGCAGTGGTGGTGGTGGCGGCGTCGGCGGCGATGATGGTGGCGACGGTCCCCCTGACAGTTCCTCGAAGGAGCCTCCTCGGTTGTCGCTCGGTCCCCGTCGCCCCGCAACGGACGCATGTTTCAACGGACTGCTGGCGCGCGAAGACCGTGCCGCGGGCGGCGGCCACCCGTTCGTTGTAGACGACGCGCGCGGCCGATCACGATTGATTACGCGACCCGTCGTCGTCGGAGAAGCGCCGTCCGGCGCGCGACATCAGTCGCGCTGCGCGCCCGCGGTTAGTTCCGCCGCTCGTTCTAATATGACTCACTCACGGTTTCCTCGAATCGCGCGCGGAGAGAAAGAGAGAACCTTGCCTAGAGTCCCGCGTTGCTAATCTCCAGCCTCGGCCTGACAGCGGCAGAACACGAACGCCACGATATCTGACGACTGCTTGACGACACTCGCGAGAGCTGTCGAAAGTAGTCGAAAGTCCCGAGAGAGCGCCTCCAGAGAACCCTTCCGTGTCCCGCCGTTTATCGACCGAACGTCATCGCGGCGCTGTCGTAACACTGGCGCCGCCAGACGGCCGCGCGGCGAACTCCAAGTGCCGTCGCAGCGCGGCGTCGCGTCGTTACGTTTGAATTCGTCGCGCTCTGACATGTGCGCGCACTGATCGCACGTAATTATAGAAGCGAAAGTAAGCGGAAGGTGTGATTAGAGAACAGGGAGCACCGAAATAACCAGAGAAATTTTAGGGTTTGTTAATATACACTCGAAGATCACGCTATTCTTTTTTTTATGCCCATTTTTATCAATATATGTAGTCTAATTTTAATTTCGACTTAACTAACTCTTCATCTTTTTCTAGTTCTAGAAATTAGAAAATAATAAAGAGTAAGTTTAATCTAAATTAAAGTTAATTTATATTGATAGAAACGGGTATCAGTAATCGCTTTCGATTACGAGAACGTTTCCTCGTTTATGTAATGATTTTGATTAATGTAAATGTCGATGTACGTGTCGAAATTTTTTATGGAATTTACTTTCTCGAGGTTGCATTATGAATATTTATGTATCTGGTAATTAGAGAAAAAAATATGGTTTATAATATTACGTATAACACAATGCTAATATATCTTGTATGTAAATTATGAATATTTTCTTTATAACTTCTGAACAAATAATTATATAAAAATTAAAATATGAGAGAAATAAATAATAAATTTAGATTTTTTTTATATGCGTGTTTTGAAATAAAAATGCGAAATGTGTTCTAAATGACAATGTCTACATAATCTTATGAATAATATTCAGTAGAAGTATACATCAAATGAAAGTAACACATAACATCATTGTTATAATTTCACAACAATTCTCAACAATATAAGTATAATATAATACATGTGTTATTACATAATAATATATTATTGAAATTGTATTAATATATGTGAAATTATAACATTATTATATCATTTTTAGTTGGTGTTTATTGGGATAAAAATGATAACAATGAAAGTCATTTTAACATTTTATCCGAAATAAAAATTGCATTTTATCTAAAATAAAAATTACAATTTTTTTTTATATAAATAAAAATTAATAATTTCAATATTTGTCTAACATTATTTATTTCTACTGTTGTTATCTCGCATACACAAATAATATTGTAAGCCTCATTGAATACGAAGTTCGTCGCTAATCAAATTTTGTAGCAAAATCTTGCCACAATTTCGATAAGTTTTAACATTTACCCTTGTTCACATTACATAAAAATATTTAATTTTAATCGATATTTGTATCAAAAATTTCCTTAACTGATATTTCAGTACACTTAATATTATTGTATATCTCTTTATTTGAATTTAGTGCTTATAATACACAAGATTTATTTATTTAATAAATAATTTTTTGATGGATACGGATCATCCGATGTATTTACAATCAGTAAGATATCTATTAACCAATTGGATAATACAAAGTTTATAATTATATGTTTATATATTTCAGCTACATCATGGTTAAGTTTAAGTGGCTTCTAAACAACACATTATTGCAAAGAATATTTCTTCTAAGCATTAGCAGCGCGATTACATATGAAATTTTAATGGGCTACATTGATTACAACAATAAGGTTATACATTTAAACACCATTTGACATGTAATTAACTTGTATAATTTAGAAGAAATAATAATTAATTTTGATAATCATAAAATAAATTAAGCTTATTAAGTTACTTAGAATTTTTCTATAAACAAATTAACATTTTTTTAACTCTAATCGATTTTGCTCTAAAATTTTATTAACTAACGGTGTTCGCAGATAATACACTTTAAATTAATGTATCTTTGTAAATTGTTCACATTTCAACGAATATATTCATTAATCTGAATAAGTATCAGCCATTTTGCCTGTCAGAAAACGAAGCATGCTCTCGTCGTGTATCATTAATTAATTATATCGGCTGCATTCATTATGGAGCATACAGTGATCGCGCAAGATAGTTCATATAAAACGTTTCGCTTAATGTGCATTAGACAGATGAGATTTATACGGTGGAACATGTAATTAATTATCAAACTCAGCAAAACTTCCGTAATTCTATCCCGGAGTTTGTTGTCCATCTCTTGTCGGGATACTTCCGCGTACAACACATTAATTCAATAAAGTTTTTCATATCGATCTTGTTCCGCCTATATTTAATAGTGTCATCACATACCATCCAAGGAGAACAACACGTCAAAATAATGTTAAAATGAATCTTGAATGATTGAAAAATAACTTTTAATAATTATTTTGAAGTCGTTTTTATATCATGATGACTTGTGTTCTGTTTGAGTATATATGCAAGTTCACTTCTCTTAATTTCATATAAAATTTATAGATTCAGTTTGTAGCAAGAAATTATTCTTAACTTTATTAAATAACTACCTTATTAAACCGTTATGTATATATTATTTATTTTAAACGATTTTTAATTGACAAGCTATGAATACTTCTATTTAGTCTTAAATGTTGTGAGAAACAACATATTTAATATTTAATTACAAGTGTAGTTGAACAGTGTATAGCTGTAACTCATTGCTGGAAATATTTCGAACTTCCTATTGGATGTCATTTCATACTTGGGTGAGCTATCTTATTTAATTAATCATTTATTTAGCCGACACATCCATTGTTAACGATCTTTATCAGTTCCAAGCATCCTTAGCGTGACCTTCGGCATAACAAACGTTAGTTCATAGTGCGATCGGCTGACCCTAATTCATTTAGTAAAAGGACGCTGATTTTTATTTCTCCTTGTTCGACAAAAGTACTGTCGGTCGAAAAGCAGGCCACTTGCCACGCAACGTCGATTCCGCGATTCAAATGCAGGAAACTTTAATTACTCCGGTGAAACGAACTTCGCTTTCTTGCGATACTCTGTCCTTGCGTATAACTTTTCTCTTTCTCTTTTTCTTCGAAGGTGGTTGAATATATGGAGTCGATGTCGTACCGACAAGCCCGGGAATCTAGTAGGATGAAAGGTAGTCGAGGAGTCTTTTCTTTGGATGGAGCCAAGTCATTCGCGTGGGATCAGCGTGCAGCTAACACAAAGAATGAGTAGATCTCCATAATTCTGCAATTAAACGTATTTGAATTAAAAAATATTAGGATAAAACGGTTGTTTCTTAAATCAATGTTGACATATTTTTTCACTTATGACACGCTTTTGACAAAAGTGTTTTATATTAAGAATGTATATTTTTTAAATGTCTTATGAAAAAATTATATTTATGATTTTGAATAAAACATTTCTGGGAGTTTTATTTAGGATGTTCGGAAAATTATTGTACAACTGTTATAATTATTTTCTGGCATGTTATCTGTGTATCACAGTGTCAATCGTATATGTATACGTGATTACACTAGCACGTAATTAATATGTGTTCAGAGCTCAGAGGTTGTCTAGTTAAAGAGTCTGGTACAACATCCAGCCTTCTCGCAATCCTCCAAGCATTTAAATAGATATCGTGAGCGTAAGGCCAGAAAGAATATAGTATTTCCTGCATAGGACGCAACAAAGGAACTAAGATACCGATGAGCGGTATAATTTAACGTAAGACTTACATGCAACATGATAAAATCTCGAGAAAAGTTACAGCTGAGATCAATCTTTCACTCAGATCTGTCGAACTTACCACGCGAGAAAGAATTCTTAGGAACACAATGACTCATTTTAACCAGCAAACCAAAGGAAATATAAGTTATAAGCTGTTAATAATAAATGATACACATTCTTGTGTATATTTTATTATTAATATAAAAAATTTTAAAATTTTTTAACTCTTCACGAATAACTTCAGCAAAACAATCAGTAATATATGTATTTATGCCTCCACAGTCTATGTATTATTATCACATTTATCTCATTTGGATACGTCATGAGCACGTTTTCATTACGTCATAGGTAGAATGACTTGTGATAAAGCAAACTGTCGTATAGTTGTCCGTGTGTTTTACAAGAAGACATTTTGATAAGAAAAGTCAGAAATCATTGCCAAAAGTTAAAGAAAAATTAAGTTTTAACACTTACAAGCAGGGATGGTAAGAAACGCATTACTCGTAATACTGCTATTGTTTTATCGTTTTTTTTTATAATAAAGATTTAGTAATGACGTTACAATTTCTCATAACGTAACAATAGTACCCTCAGGGTTGGAATAATCATTTTTGAAAGTAATTTGTTACCATCACTTGTTTCTTATTTAAAAAATATAATTTATGTAATAAGCAAAGGAATGAGTTTTTTTTAATGAGGAACGCATAATGGTAATAAGTAACCGCGTTTCCTGATGTGATTAGGTAATTAGATCATCAGGCACGTGAATGTATTTAATTAAATTATCGAGTTCCATCGACAAATATTAGAATCGTAAGCACGGTACTGCACATGGTAAATTAACTGGTTGAGTTTACTTAAGTGATAAAATTGTTTGAGTGATATTAAACGATGAACTCGAAAATATGACAAGAGGAAATGTCTTTGCAAGTAGAGTGATTCCATCAGCTTGCGCATGAAAGATTACCCTTGTAGAATCTATACGTACTGCATATATGCTGTATAATCACTGTTATCGGAACACCACTCACACAGAAGTTGTTTGAACGCAGCTCCGTTTTGACGCACGCGTAGCTAAAATTGGGAAAATTGCATCAATCAGTTATTTTCTGAATTATGTATTGTGTGATCACTGTTTGATATTTTTCTTAAAATAAATACTCTGTAATGTCGAACAAACCTAACAACAAACCTAATGTAATCGACGTACCTGACAAAGAACAAATTCAACGAGATTCAAGTAAGTACGCAATGTAACTAAAAAAATTTTTGCTCAAAAATAATTTTGAAAATTTTAAAGTATTCTAAATATATATAATTTCTGATATATTTTAAGCATAAATGCAACTATTGTTAATAATAATTATTTAACTTTGATTTATTACTTATTTATTTAGTACAAGGGTGTATCATATACATATCATTGTTTTACTTAAAAAAAATAACCATTCAAACAATAAAATTTTATTCCAGAAAAGAGATAAAAATATTTTTTATAATGTAAAAAAGTTTTTTAATGTAAAAACATTTTTTAACCGGACAAAAAATTTTGATGATTTTTTATAAAGTTAAACTAATATACTTTTAATGATTGATAAGATGATGTTTATTTGTGGTGTAACTCGTTCATGATTATTCAAAAATCACGTTTTCTGAGTTGTCACTTTTGACGAAAGCAATGTATTGTGTGTGTATAATAATTTTTTAAATTAATATACATTATTTTCTAAATTATATATTTATATATACATATTTTGTTAACATAGTTGTAATCGAAGATGAATCAAATGCGAAAATTGCGGATTTTGAAACGGCGATTAGTGTCGCTGGGACCGGGAAGTTTCAATGTCTTCTCATTTTTGCGATTATTCCGGTCTCCTGGGCATCGAGTATAGATACGGCTAATATGTCGATGATACTCTCATCGGCGGAGTGCGATTTAGGATTGTCACTGTTTAACAAAGGACTTTTGAATGCTGCTATCTACGTAGGCAAGTGCAATGCGACGTTTGAAATTATTTTCAATACATTTAAATTATTTCAAGCAATTATAAAGTCATTTAAAACTATTTTTAAGCAATATTAAAATGATAGAGAAATATGAAAGGTAAAAATACAAGAAATTTATCATAATTTATCCATATTAAACTTATATTAGGTATGCTATTGAGTGGTTTTATATGGGGATACCTTGCTGACGTTAAAGGAAGGAAGAAGATTATGATATATGGCTATATGGCGGATGGTATATGCAATGTACTCTCAGGATTTTCGCAGAACTTCGAGACGCTTTTATTCTTCAAATTTCTCAGTGGCCTTCTGTGAGAAAAATATTACATTACATAAGATAATTTAACCTGCTAGGATAAGATGGCCATATGGGGAAGATGACCATAGGCTTTTAGAATGACTACAAAAATGCTCTATTTAGCATTTATTGAAAAAATTACAACCTATGGCCATCTTTTCCGTATGCCCATAATACCCTATATAAATAAATCAAATAAGTAAAAAAAGAGGCAATACGGTTAAGATTTTAGTATCTAATAATATTTGTGTGTGTGTGTGTGTGTTAAATTCAATAATGCACACACTGCTATTTAAAAAAAACAAAGGCCGGTATTTAGGACCATTTTAAGTCTTAAGATGTTATAAGTTAACAAAAAGGTAACAAAAAGTGTCTAAAATCGGGTCATAAGACGTTTTTTCTAAAAGACGACTTAAAGACGTCTTATGTCACAATTTTAAACTTTGTGTTGTTTGGGTAATCACAGAGCCATAATAGTACTTTAAGACATTTAAGACAATCTTCAAAATCAAAATAAGAATAAACTATATGAGTATCAGAGCCAAAGAAAAAGTCTGTTTAATCTTATAATAACAAATTTTTCATATTTATCGTATAATTATATCATTTAATATAAAAGAGATTAATAATCAATTAAACTTTAATCACATTAGCGTGTGTGGTCCATATGCTACTCTTATGGCATACAGCGCGGAATTTTATGGCGCCAGTGGTAGAACAAAGATTCCAATTCTCGTTGGCTTCTCGGTTTCGTTTGGGTGTGTAGTGAATGCAGGTAAAATATTTCGGCATTTATTTATTATAATAGAATAATTTATAAGGTTATTTATTGTAGGAAATAAGTTATATAAATAATTATTAATAATAATCTTAATATAAATATAATTTTTCGTGAAAATAATATTTAGTGCATGCACTTGTTGTTAGCGTTGGCTTGGTTAGTGATTCCTCAGCCGTGGTCAATTATTCTTTGGAACGGTGCCTTTGTTTACAATTCCTGGAGGATCTTTCTGTCCCTTTGTGGAGTATCGTCGTTGATAGGTGTTTGTTGTCTCTCTTTCTTTCCGGAGAGTCCTAAATTTCTGATGTCACAAAATCGTAATAAAGATGCTCTTGAAATTTTCAAAAAGATCTACAGTATAAATACTGGTCTGCCTAAGGATAATTATCCTGTAAGCATAATTATAATTGTAATAGTTTACATAAAATTATTTAATTAATTTATAAACAACAAAGATGTAGGTATCTCTATATATTTTTTATCGTTAGATAAGTACTTTGGACGATGTAAGTTTAAACACTTTAAACAGTACAACTGCAGAACAATCAAAATGTCAAAGCGGTACGAAAGCGAGCTTAAAAAACGGAATTCGGCAGATGAAGCCCATGTTTTTGAACCCAAATCTGTCATGTATTTTATTACTTGTTGTTATACAATTTTGTATGATGTTGGGGTAAGTATTTTATTATTTACATGTGTACAAGCTATGTAATATAATAATTGATAGTAATTCTTTTTAAATATAACGTAACTTTTGCCCGTATTCATAATCAGACCTTATACTTAAGGCTTCCTTAAATTTATCTTTAGATGCTCAGTAGCCAATGAAATAATTCGTAGAGTATCTGAAGATAAATTTAAGGAAGCCTTAAATATAAGGCCTTACTATGAATACGGGCATTTATTCCATATTATTTTCGTGCGCGAGCTGCTTAACTCGGAAATAATCACAAATTTTTTTTTTTACGTAAACGATTACCTGGGATATTTGCATAAAAAATTAAATTACTATTATTAATAACATAATATTGTATATTATTAAATGATTTCCAATCTATTTGAGAACATTATGGATATAAATTTAATTATAATTTTCTGAAAAAAGTAAGTAGAAACCAAACGAATATTAAACGGAAGAAAGTAGCTTATTATGACAGTATCTCTAAAAAATAAAGATTTTAATAAATATGACGCTTTTTTATTGATGGTTTTCGATGGAATTGCTTATTTAAAGGTTCGTAAAGAATATTAAAGAAGAAAAATTATGTATTATCTTAAACAAATACATTATACAATTTATATTTTTTCATCGTTGGGGTATAAGAATGCTTCAGATGACCCGGTTCCTGAGTTAATTAATCTGAAACTTTATATACATATATATATATATATAAAATCAAAAGTGAAATTGTAAATGAGATTTTAAATATCAGAATGGTGAGTAACGCGGTAATAGCAATAACATTTGTG